TGTGACCTTACTCTCACATGAGAGCACAGCATGCCACATATACTACATTAGGCCTACACATACTGTGGACAACATCTACATTTACACCCGCCTGCCGAAGCATGTTCAGAAACACTCACACGGAAACCGAGAAAGATTAAGGAGTATAGAAACGCACAAATAAACTTCCTTTTATGTACAATTCTTTTCTTTACTCTTTTTGTTACCTAATTTGCAATCTGGGCATAAACGTAACACAAGTCATAAGCACATTATTAATTCAGTCTTCTTGCCATAACAAAGTCATATAACAAAGTTATATGACACTAAATCACTAGATTTGCTGACCAAAGATGCCCCTTTTCCCTGCCATAAATGTAAACAGTTAAACACAATCTCACTCAGGAGCAGCTCAGTACAAGCAAAGTCTTTTCTGTTGGTCCCTGTGGCCGTTTTGGGATTAACTGCCATGCTCAGGAATCCAAGGCAAGCGCTCCTGGCACACTTTCTTGCCCAATTTTAGCCTGAGGGTCCAAGTTTGAGCTGGCTGCCTTCCAGCCATAAGTCCTCTTGTCTTTCTTTTGGGTTGCTGCTTTTACATTTAACAATGCAGGAGATCTATTGGACATGTAGCTATGTACAGTCAAGTTTGAATAGATTACTATGATCTGAGCTTGCTTGATGTCATCACAAGACATGTGGTGATGGCTAAGCCGGCAGCTCGCAGCTAACAGTGCTTACAGTGCAAACCAGGGTGTCACCTGGGCCTGTCTCAGCTCCACTAACGATCAACAGCGTTGACCATTTTTAGAGTTCGGCTGATCACGCATTCAGCCACTGGTAGAGGGCTCTGCCTGTGCTTACAGAACAAAGGTTGAAATACCGTAACCTTCGCTGCTTCTATATTAACGCTCGGAATATTGTATAGCAATATTAATTAGAAAACAAGAGTGAGAGTGAACATTGCTTCGAGTCACATGAGAAGACTTGTATGACAATTTTGAGTACTTTTGAAAGAAATGATCTTTATCTGATTTGGTGTGAATGTGTTTTCCTGTCCTGTCAGTGGACTTAAGTTGTATCTTTTATCATTTACTAAATAGTTAGCTTTTCTTTCTTACAAATCCTTTTGTAAATTACACACTTTTTAATGCAGATTTAAAGCGATGTCTCAATCTAGAGAATTGTACATAGGGTGCCATGAGTTACTAAATTAAACATTAATATTCAGACACATTTTGCTACAGTAGCCGTGCCTCCTCCTCGACTCCTGTCATTAATTCTGCATTTTTCCAAAAATGCTGACGTGCCCACTTGCACGTGCCCACGTGATTGACAGGAAGTGGGGACACACTCTCCCTTTGGTATCTCCTGACTGACAGGAATATAGAACCTCAGGTTATTTTTTGAGTGAGCGGATCGTTCAGTAGTGTCGCATACTTGTCATAGTGAGAAACTGTCAACATCCTGGCATTTTGAGTGCTAAAATTCCTCTTCTATGACGATGACTAGACAGGAAATTGGTCATTCTCTAATAATCATGTATGCTTTTTTCACAAGATGTACAAATACAATGCCCCAGTAAGTGGAGTGCCAAGGTATGATGGGGAAATGTATCGCAGTTCCTGCAGTTTAAATGACCTTAAGAGCTGAAAGAGAAGCTAACTTTCAACTAGAAATTTTCACCTAGAGTGATGGATGCAGGCATCCTTTGGGCCAGTCACAAGTAACAAGATGCATAATTCCTCCCCAGTATAATTAAAATCCATCAATTTATGTGGGAGCTATTGCCTTTGCACTCTGAAACCTTGACCTTTAATTATGGCACCTCTATCAGTATAAATTTTGAATCTCTAGAGCACACTGTCAAATGCATCATTAACCTACGGTGAGACAAAATAGCCTGAACTTTAGGATCCTTGCATTGGATCGGGATCAAGTTATGCAACGGTTTCCTTTGTGGATTCCTAAAATGGAGAGGAGTTACTGTGTGATGCAGAAAAATGTACCTGACTTCAGTGAATCGCCTGTAAGAAGCAATAAAAGATAGAAATTAGTTCAACCAGACAGAAAATGAGACAAAAATAACTGAATAAACATTACATAAACAGTGATTAAATTGTCACCTTAATTAGCAAGATATTATAACCAGACAGTGTAAATACCAATGAGAAAATGCAGGTCTTTAAATTTACACTTTTTTTTTTTAATTTCAATTAGCAGGGTTAATTGGTTTTACCACTAACATGACTGAATGTGCTACAAAGCATCAACACTGCACGCTGATACATCCTGTTGGGAACCTAATTAAAGTATCACTGTGTAGCTGAGAGAGGCGATACAACTCAATAACCTATTTTACAAATCTCAGTTATCAGTGCTTGGATTTTAAAGTCCCTGTATGTGGTGGTCCAATTGAATTATTTGTTGAACAATTTGTCATGAAGCTTAAGGTTTGACAGGAAATCTAAAGCGATCAATCAGACCCCTCCCTGGTAGTCTTAAGTGTTAGCGAGGCTAATAGCGAGACACACTACCTGTAAATTAAAGCAGCGTTGTTGCTGTCAAGACTCACTGTGTCATGAGCTACACAGAGGTTTAATCAGAATGTCATATAGTGTACAGATGAAAGGCCACACACACACACACACACACACACACAAGGCTCTTTAAGACATTTGTTACAGCTGCTTTAGCCGTCTCATCGTGTTAATGTTATTTGGACAGGCTGATTGGCTACTGGCAGACTTAACAATTCACCAGAGTCTGGGGCCATTTTTCAAAACACCAATTACGAGTTTGTATCTCATCGTGTCATCGATCAGAGAGCTAGCTATTCACTCAGAGTGACATAAATTAACTCATGTGTCCCTAAACAAAGGTTTGGGGGGGAGACATAATTGCACCCATCATGGGGTTATGTCCTTTATCCAGCAACTGTATAACAAACAGGCTGATACATTTCTAATTGTATGTGTACCTTTAAATCACACTATTGAAGCTTAGTGTATTCTCTATATTTTGTGTGTTTGTGCATGTGAGAGCTGTAAAATGCCTGTGGTAATGGAAAAGATCCAGAGCTGCTGTGGGTGACAAAGGGTGTAGCGTTCCATTTCTGTCACTGCCTTGGATGTGTGATGTTTATTTAATATACAGTAGGCAGCAGTGTGTGTGTGGGTGTGTTTTATCCATCTTGTGGGGACTAAATCTGTTTACAGTCACATCGTGGTGATTTGCCTTCTTTATGGGGACAAAATGTCTGTCCTCATAACGTACATCATTACATTTTAGCGTGAAGACTTGGTTTAAGGTTTACGATTAGGCTGGTAGCAATATATATATATATTTATATATTTATTTTTTCTTTTCTGGACTTAATATGTGTCCTTAGAATAACAGTTGGTGCAAGTGTCAAAGTCATCCAAGAAATACTTCTTCAGTTTATACTGACATAAATAGTTACAATATGTGGTAACTGTTTTTTGAGTGGTACTCAGAGGAGCAAATATTGGTTGGATGAATTGATTTCTGTTCCGCTGCCTCTCCGTAAACAAGCCAAATATGTTGCTGAGGACAGGAAGTAAAAGCAGGGGGGCCATTTATTTTAAGCAGCATTATTTATAGTCTTGTTCTATCTTGTTTGAAGCGAAATGCACATGAAAATAAACAACAGTGCTATTGAATGATGAGTAGAGGATGCATCAAAAGCGGAAGCCTGCGCTCATGTTTGAGGGGCGGGTCTCAAAATCAGAATGGAGGGACGTCGCCTGTGTGTGTGTGTGTGTTTGCCTTTAGAGGTTTTGATCTCTCTCCTCACTAAACAGAGTGGAGTCCATCATCAACAGATACCCTTTCAATTATTCAAGAGGTTAGCATGAAAAATAAATGGCTTCTTCCTGCAGTGAGAGGTAGGTTGCTGCTCTGGTTCCAGTGAGTCTTTCAGCCTTTCGCTGTACACCCACACAGAGGACAGGCTGGGCAATAGCTTTCTTTCAGCTATGATTGCGGATCACTGCATTTTTTCTCGTTATTGTTTCAAGACCACAACTTCTGGGCAGCTGCCACAAACTCATCATCAGTGAGATATCTCTCAACTTTTTTTATGACTCACTGGAAGTTCCACGTCAGGTGAAAACAGTTGTGGTACTCAAGTGTAATGATGGTATGTTTGAGAGATAATCAGTTTAATAGAAACTCTCGTCTGACCTGTACCACTTCAATTCCAAGCATTGCACAAAATTTGAAAAAACGGTACTCTCACGGTACTTAAACTATAACACGCAGTTAAGACCTGTAATACATTGAAAATGTATAATTTTAATGCTGCTGAAACTGTCACCTAGACATCTCTTAACCTGGAAAATCACTACATCAAAGCTCACTCTGCTTTTTTATATATTATTATTTATTTCTAAGAAAACGACTCCAGTCATGTTGATTGGAAGGTTTTTAGAGTTTAGAGTTTAACCTCTACTCATTATTAAATTGCCAGACTCTAGTTTTATACGTTGTTTGTCAGTAACAATATTGCTGCAATATAGTGTATAATAAAGTTGAAATACCATTGTCATTAGAGTTTTACTGTAAATACATTCATCGAATGTAAATCTGGATGTCTGTGGTGTGTTTTGCAATTGGTTTTAGCTCTTTCACTTGTTTCAAGTGACAGCATGGATCTATGAGGGTAGCTCTCTGAACAATGTACAGTAGGAGTAGGCTTGTCCCACAGACAGCCAGCTCATTTCCATATTTAGACGAGAAGCAAGCCAGGTGTCTCTCATGGCACGTCACTTTGTTCCAGGTGATAGCCATTTGGCTAAAGCTGACCTTCCCTTTTGTGTGTCTTCAGTGCTTCTTACTTTGTCTTTCTTCTCCTGTCTGATTAATTTGTGGCTCTCTTTGTGTCACCGTCTCGTTTTACGCTTCATGATGATCGGCCTCGAAAGAAAGAAAAGAGGGAAAAGAATAGCTCTGCCTTAACTCTAATGTAAGCTTCCTCTCCTGGTTTTGTCTCTTTCCAGGTGGTCCATCACGTTGGTCCTCCCCTGGATGTGACTGCTGCTGCAAGAACCACAAGGGTGACGGCGAGGGCGAGAGCGGCACCTCGTTCAACGAGCTCTCCACCTCCAGCTCTGAGAGCCAGTCAGAGGCCAGCTCTCCCCAGGGAACAATCATCTGCGGCCCGGTCAGCCGCCAGTCACACCCCCACGCCAACGTCCAAACCCTGGACAGGCCGCTGAAAAAGGGCCCCATCGCCATGCTCCAGCAGTCCGAGCAGCGGCGGAAGAGTGACTTGTTGCGCACACTCACGGCGAGCTCCCGCGACACCAGCACGTGCAAGAAACGTCCAGCAAAAGAGAAGCCGACGGTCGAGGAGGAGTTGGAAAAGTGCATTCAAGACTTCCACAAGATCAAGATCCCAGAGAGGTTCCCCGAGAAGAAGTACATGTGGCAGGCCGACTTGCTGAGAAAGTACCGCGTCTGAGCCAGGAAACTGGACAGAGGGTGCAGACACATGAGGCCAAGGATCAGTTTACATGTTTTTTGATCATGACTTTTGCAACAAAAGGGAGATAACACCTAGCTCATTAGAATCCGGTTACTGGGAGAAATGTCACCTTCATGCCAGTAGGTTGAAAGTCTACACAGAAGCTAGTAAAAAGCATAAAAACAAGACTGTTCTCTTATTGACATAGTATGTATGTGTGTGTATGTAATTTAGGTCTACTGTATGTACCGTACGTATGTGCCGCACTTGCTGAATGCTTCAGAGCCTTGAATAATTATATCCCTGAGGACTAATCCATGTGGGTGAAAGACAGCCTCTATGAGCCGATCAACCAACTGAAGGCTTGCTAATGGCTACAATGGGGGTTATTGAGGGTTACTGGACTACACACACTGTCATCCGTCATAATTTCCATGGAAAACCATCACCGGAGCTACAGTTTTAGTCCACAAAGACGAACTGATTTAGTATGTGAATGTGTGTTAATGTGTGTGTATGTGTGTGTGTTTTCGCACCCAGGTGGCCTAGAGGTCATGAATAAATCTACATCAGGAACCATTAATAATTCATGCTGTCCCGACAGTGCTCTCACTATAAATACTCCTAGAGCGCTCCGCTGCCAGGTTGGCGTAAACAGCTGGGTTAATTACTTAACTTTTAGGCAACATTTGGGGACTTTGAAGCAGGAGGCGGTACAATTTCAACAGCGGCACAATTCATTTTCTTCTTCTAATATCAGTTATGTTGCAAACGTACTCCTAGTGAATCAAACTACCCTGCATTGCATTGATTTTTGCTGTGTTGGCTGGATGTGGAGCAATTCCCAGGTTACTGTGTGAAAGATAAGTGAAAGAGTGAAGGATTGTGTTTGACTGTCAAACCATGGGGGAAAGGTTCCATAAAGAAAAGTCCTGATTCAACACACTTTTCCAATTACATCACAGCCTTTTTAGCGAATAACTTTATCAAAAAGAACACAACACTCGCATTTATTCCCACAGAGAAGGCGATCAATTGTGTGGTCATTTAAACCATGCTGGATATGACGCCTACATTAAATAGACAGAATGGCTACACAGGCTAACCCATCAACACAGACGGATGCTTTCTGCCCGGACTGTTGACATGGTGATTGATAGTTATTGACGATAGGGCACAGTGAAAGAGCTGATAGATGTGGTTCTTCTTTACAGTAATGAATGAAGCCCCTGGGTAACGTACAAAGACAAGCTGGTTATGTATTTAGTGAAAATTAGCCATTATTCATGTATGGATTGATGTTCTCCTGGTTCAGTTATTGTGATGTATTGTGTTGTGGTTACAGAAACAACAAAGATGGCAGACATCTATTTCTAAAAGAGTGCAATTCAAGAACACAATTTCATTTCCCCAGTAGGTTGATTTTTTTTATTCAGGTTGCAAATTATGTTGTTGATGACTGCAGAGGGCGAAAGCACACAGGCATTCAGTGATGTCGTAAATGTGAAACATTGCTTTTCAGTTATGATGGCAAACTTTTGAAGATGATGAATGCCATTCAACACATCCCTTTTTAATATAGTTCATTGTTTATTTAAACAGGTAGTGTTACTGACATCACAATCTCTGTTTTAGGAGAGACGCATGCAAAAGAGAGAACATATAGAAAAAGGATTGGACGTATGTTGTCCAGCGGATTGTACAACTAAGGAAACAAATACATGATTCAGTGAGAATTAGAGTTAAAAATGAAAACAAATATTTTATTAGCAGCTTGTACTGTGAGAGGCAAATTAAAAGCATGATGTCCAAAGTACTGTGGAAGGAAGCTTCAATGACCTGAGACAAATTTGATCAGATTTAGTTTAAGTTTCCATCAGAGGGAAGTAGCTGATAAGATAAACAACTGCATACAGAGACAAGTTTGTTGGTCCCAGCTTAAAAATCAAGTTATTTCTGAATAGTGTGATAGACAGCTATGATGAAAAGATGTAGTTATAAATATTGATGAACTGTCTTGTACAGATGATAGTTCAGAAAGGCCGTCTTGGTAGTAGTAGTACGACAATAAAAAAAGAGGACAAAGTGGAAAGCATTTTCACGGTGAAGCATAATTCAAGTTCTCAATATGTTTTGTTATTGCAGCTTATGAACGTGTAGAGGAATGGGCCTTATAAACAATCATAGCTTTTACACAGCACAAAGTTTAAAGTTAAATTAAAAGCACACACACATATGCATATATAAAATATGAATCATATAATGTTATTCAAAGATCAGTTTATTTAAAAAATACCCCAATTTAAAAATGTTCTCTTACACTTATTTTTCTATCTAAAGGCCTTTAAATGAATAGATTATCCAATGCCCTTATGTTGCCCATAACATGTATTTCCTGTAAGAGAAGTGGTTCATGGGTAGTAAGATATTTGTAGTTATATATATTCAGTGGTGCCCATATGTCTGCTGTGGTTTATTATAGTATACATTAATATGGTTGCAACAGGTGCGCTAGATGCAAACCAACCATTTTCCTCATGTCCATACAATGAATATGACATATTTTTCTACAATACTGGGATATTACATTTTCATTTTGGAGTAATTTATCTTATGAGCTGAAGTTGAGATATGTTAATGCACACCACACAATATATGTAAATAAACACCATAAATCATACCTAACCAGAATAATGTATTATACTATCTGTATATAACACGCAAATCCATGAGGTGTGGCTGCCGCGCTGTTTTTAGTGATGCAGTAGACTGACGCTAATGTAATACTGCCATTCCTGTTTTATCATTTAGAGTATTGGCCCATCAGCGACGGGGAAACACCTATAACATATTATAGCTTATATTTACATAACAAATGATGAGCAACTTGCTTTCCGAGACAACATAATCATAAACTGGTTGTCAGCACATTTGTCTGACAGCGCAACACAAGCAACACAAGCATTCAATGGTGACTAAGACATTTCAGCAATGCTGGATTGAAATCAATAAATCTGAAGATGTTCATGCCTTAAAACAAACAATCTATCCCTGAAGCGTTTGCTACCGTGCAGTGCAGTCAGAAGGTGTTGTGTGCATTTGTTGTTGTTTAGGCTCTGTACTCTGGGACATAGGATTTGAAATGAAACAACAACTATGAAGTTAAAGTGCTAACGTTCAGCTTCTAACAGTGTTTGGGAGTGTTTTACATCCCCATTGGGTGAATACTGAATCGTGTCCTCATAACGTACATCAGTACATTTTAGGGTGAAGAATTGGTTTAAGGTTTACGATTACGCTGGTAGCAATATATAATAGTAAACAGCACTTTTTCCCTAATTTCAGGACAATACAACAGGACAACATTTCTACATTTACCAATAAGTCAAAGCTGAGAATCAGAACTTAAGCATAACAGTCTCATGCACTGGAATTATGAGCCAACTCACAACAAAACAGACTGCACTATATAAAATGTGTAGTGGTGTTGTATTCTCGGTTAGCGTTCCTGGTCTGAAGCAAAGGAAAAAATGTTCACTTTTTGCACAAGTTTTTAGTTGTTGACTTGCATACACACTGGCCAGTTACAAACGAGGACTCATGATTATAAGTCACATGTATTCTGGTCTCCAAACAGCTTGTAAATACAGGAGGAAATTGCTGAATTTTAGCGTTAGGCCAGACAATAGTTTGCCTTTGGTTGATTATTGCTTTAAGCTTTCCGAGAACAGCATGCTGACTGAAGATACTGTATAAAGATGTTTCTCTTTTACTTATAAATGTGTGTTTTCAGCTGCTGGCACAACTATTATTTGGCCAAATGATCCAACACAGTTTGAATAAACATGATCCATATAAAAGATGAACATCTCTGATTATCAAGAGAGAATTGTTGCATAGCTTTTTGCATATTTTTGTTTGTAAAGTTAATTTTGACATCCGCAGTAGATAGTCTTGTGCTGCTTTTATTCAGTCCAGCTTAAGCAAAGGGATACTAGGAACCGTGTTTGCTTGACTCTGCCTACCATTTTAAAAATGTGTTGGGTTTTGTTTACTTTGAGATGATTCAACATCAAGGTCGGTCGGTCACGGAAATCTATCTGAGAGCATTTTCAAACACAGATTTGTCTTAAGAAGGGAGAAATGCTGTTGAACAGACACAGAGGGAAAATGCATACCAAGACACCCGGTGGCCTTCTAGAGTAGAATACAGCTGTTTTTGCACAATGTATAGAGTTATACAGAAACACAAACAAGTATTTGAAAAAGAGATAAATCAATAATCACCTTACATGCACAACACAGTCACAAATATTGTGTCTGTCATGAGAGAGAAAGCTAACCAGTTTTCACCTTTAGAGCACATAAATTGATATTCAGTTCTTTGGGCCTGAAAAAAAAAAAAAAAAAAGATGATGTAAAACTAATTGAAAAAGAATGACTTCAATTTGGTTTTTAGTCAAATGTGATGTATGAAAAAGAAGAGCGACTGAAGTGATGTTTAAGTATGTGAATTAATGTGATCTTGGAGTGCCCGTCTACAGATTTTCTTTCCTGAAGTTATGGTCATGGCCTGCAAGTGAAGCCAATGTACATGACTGCAGGCCCTGTTATTTTCCTCCTGTCTTTGAATTTGTCAAAATCATCTATTCCGATAGCACCTGGCACATACTGTTTGGAACAAGAGGGCGTCTGTTTTTATGTATGTTGTTCTGACACTAAAAAGGAAAAGAAAAAATGGTTCAGATACATTGTGAGCATGTTGGTATACAAAACATATAACAGATTTAACTTAGTCTGTTCTTGTGAAAAAGATTATGTCAAAAAACTGATATTTAACAGAAAAAAGAAAACTTGCAAAAAAAACAAAAGAAGAAAAAAAAAGATAAGCACAAATGTGTTGATAGTGTCTGCTGTTCCTCCACAGGTGTATAACATCAAATAAAAAGTCTGCAGTGTGACTGAGCTCCTGCAAAACAGAGTTATTCTCACCCCAGGCATATGAAAATAGTTCATGGAAATATTTGTTTCACCATAAATCCTTCAGAAAATATGATATAGTATTTTGGTATTATGGAATTAGGAAAACATGCCTATCAAATTATACATAGATGTATGTCCAGAAACTAAATTATTGTTTTCCATTAACAGCCAAACATCTGTGGTGAGAGTTACCCTGTATTCCAGGTGTTACCATGTCTACCTTTAGAGTTCAAATCATCTGAGAGTCTTTAGATACAAAGCATATAGTCATTTTGAAAATGTATGACGACAACAATAAACAAGACATTCTGTACAGCGACCTAAGACTTGCCTTTATTCCTAGTTCTCATCTGCCTTTGCTGTGGTGGTCAATAATCCTCTGGGGTCCACACGATATCAAGAAAGATAGTGAATCTTTGAAATTGATCATTCATTTGAGATTAATTGTTTTTTACAGATGAGTGAATCTGAAGGTGAACTGATCAGCTGCCCTCAGT